AAAGTAGACAGCAAAAGTACTGCGCAAGGTAATGGGAAACACCTTGGTCCCAGGAGACGGCAAGTTAGGCCCAAATTGGGAAGGTCCTTACAAGGTGGTTGGGTTAGCAGGCAAAGGGGCATACCACCTAGAAGACAAGGACGGCAAAGCAATCCCTAGGCCATGGAACACGGCCAATCTCAAGTTATTTTACTTTTAGCTTTTCTTTTTCAAACATATGTAATTTTTTCTTTCTTCAATAAAACTAGCAATTCTTTTTAGCACGAGTTGTTCTTTGTAAAAGATAAGCTTTAGTGACGATTAGGTACATTGCAAGCATTTTATTCTAAGTTAGCTGGAAAAACTAACTTAGAGGTTGGCTGGATTAAACCAACACCTTCCTAAGCCCAGGATTAGGATCCAGGCTGCAGGACGTTTGGTCGGAATAACCAAACATTATTCTAAGTTAGCTGGAAAAAATAACTTAGTGGTTGGCTGGAATACACCAACTCTTGTTTCTCATCAGCCGAAGTAAGGGTATGGCTGAAATTGGATTGGCTGGATTAAACAAACTCTGAGTACTCCTCAGCCAAAGTAAATATATCGGCTAAAGAGTGGTTGGCTTGTAAGCATAGTTTAACCAGCTAAAACTGAAAAAACAGTTCAAGTAATAGAAGACATTACAAGTGCAAGCACACGAATCAAAACCGGAATAAGAGTTCAAGCAAAATTTTCATTCATTGAAAAGCCATTACAAAGAAGGGGCATAGTTCGATTACAAAGGTAAAAAGCAACAGAAAAAGAAAAAGTACATAATCAAGAGAAAAGTTCTTCAATATCGGCATCAAAAGCAGCATCAGCATCAGCATGAAGACCGGCTTCAGAAGGGAGCTCACTCACGGTTGGAAGAGTGGTTTCGGCTGGAACCATGGTTTCACCTGGAAGATCAATAGTCAGGTCTTCCACCGGGGGCTCCAACCGAACTGTCTGGTCCACACTAGCAACCGGAGTATCCTCAGAAGAAGAGTCTTCATCAGAATCTGAGCCTTCAAGGAACTGCTGCTGCATGGCATTTGCATACTCCGCAAGGGAATTCGGTATGAAGTAGGCTGGAGGGTTGAAGTCCTCGGTCTGTTGATCATGACCGAGCTTCTCAACAGCCGCCCTCCAGCCACACTTGAAGAACAGCTCCTTGGCAGCATTGCATTGCTTGGCATAAGCATCCTCTGCCTTCTTGAAGCCTTGTTTGCCGGCTTCCTTCGCGCTCTCTTTTATTTCGGCATCTTTCTTTCTTTCGAGCTTTACCAGCTCGCGTAGGTATTTGTCCTTCAGAGATATGGCAGCCTGCTGCCTTTCTGCCTCGGCCGAACTAACTAGTCCGGTCAGTCTGCTGTTCTCGGCTTGTAGTTCGGCCATTTGCTTCTTGATGTCTTCTACCTCGGCCAACTTCATTTCAGCTTTTGCCACAGCTTCCCTTGTAGTTTTTCTGAGTTCCAGCACTTTCTTGTGAGTATTGTAATTTTTCTAAATTGCCTGGCAAAACAAGGACTTCTCATGAGCCGAAGTAAAAGTTTAAAAAACTAGACAGAAAAGCGAACAGAGCTACCTACCAGGATCATGGACTTCGTTGCAGACCGAATGGACTTTAATTCGGTGTTTAGCTGCTTTTGGTGGTGCTCCATATCCTTGGGGAGGCACACACTCTTGGCCAGACTAAAGGCCAAAAATTTCGTAGTACGAGGGCGGCGTGACAGCTGCCCCTGGCTTATCAGAGTCCGCCACGGTGCCCAGCTGGTGTTAGTTCGGTTAGTGGGCTCCGGTTGGGGGCTCGGTGGCAGGATCGGTGGAACAGCAGTCTCATCTTCGTCAACCAAACTTGGTTCGGACTCAGTGGTTCGAGCGCGCTTGGTTCGGCGCGATGAAGACGGCTGTTGAGAGGGGAGGGCCACAACGGCAGGCTGCGTTTGGCTTGGTAACGGTACTTCGGGCCGGCTTGTCTCGGTCAGAAGTGCCCTTAGTCTGTTCTTCTTGGCCATTTCCTCTTCTGCTGTTAATGGAATTAATCTTATTTGCGGCAAGTTTGGGTCCGGCTCTGGGGCGTCTTCGAGAAGAAAGTCAGTTACTCTGGCTTTTCGGCGACCGTTGTACCGGTAGGTCAGCTCAAAGTTTAGAAGCTTAGCCCAACTCCTTTCTTTAAGCCGTAGTGCAGCTCGCAAAATCGCAAGGTTGGGATAGCTGTATAAGG